TGTTGTGTTAATGAGGTATGGTAACTTGGACCGATGCATATATGTGCCTGGTCCTATGTTGTAGCTGACTGACTGACTGACGTGCGATTGTCAGTGGTATAGGAGTAGGTTGGAAGAAAACTAGGGGCGTCCAGAACAAAACATGGCACAAGTCCATGAAGTCACTGACAAGTGGACTGAGTCATATTGGTAGGTGTAGACTACCCTGTTGGGGACCGCGAGATGATAGCAACCGATGGTTAGGGACCCTAAATGACACGGCTGAAAATCGTTTGCAATGGCGCAGGTGCATCCACTCTTTGTGTTCTCCCAAATTCTAATCTTCTGAATTTGTCGTTTCCCTTTTTTTCCTCTTTCCAAATTGATTTCACAGTATTATGCTCCTTGAATAACATTCTCAAACCCTAATTTTTCTGATTACAGCTTATAATTTTACTACATCTACCACTACGGGATTTGAATCGACCACTGCATCTCTGTGCTAATGTGGTGTGGCAACTCGAACTGATGTACGTACGTACGTACGTACGTACGAAGTTCTACGTTGTTACTGACTGACTGCCCGACCGTTGTTGCTACCTTGACGTGGTGGTCGGGCTTGCCTATCGTGATGAAGCAACCGAGCTATACTGGCTGGAACAACCGTTCCTCAAGGTCCTACCATGTCAGACAGGTCGGTTGAAGAGCGGTAAGACTAAAAGCAACAAACCCAAGGTCCGAAGGCGAAGTCGTACTGCTGACTGTACAGAGGTGTGACAGCAGTAAGGTGTTTCCTTTAGACAACCAGCATGACAGCGATGCTGCCTTCCCACAAGGAGGGGTGGGGTTAGAAAAGGTCGACCCTAAAAATGCACACCTCGCCTTATCCCACGGATATCCGTCTCCGGCGGTAAGGTCTCAATAAGTACGGAGCTAACACAAAAATTACCCATAACAAGGTCGTGTGTGACCGACCTCAAGCAGTTGTCCCTTGGGCACTGCGGTCACGCTCTCAGGTCACTAAGACCACCTCTAATCCAATTTCCTTTTCAGGTACCTCCAAAACAACCCTTCCACGGTGTGGGCAACCGGGAAGTGAAAACCGCCCTCATACCTCTAACAGCACTCAAGACCACTGTATTCATAATCAACCTTCCTCTTCAATTCCTATTATTCCTCGTACATCGACTTTCAACTTTAAATTTCCTCTCTCGGCTTCCACCTCAAGTGTCACCATAGCCAACGATTCTAGTGCGCAAAATACTGTCCCAGGTCTACTGAAACCTCGCTCCAAACTACACATTGGAGCCTTCAACGTACGAACCCTATGTCAAATCGGTCAACAGGCTTCCTTGGCTAAAACCCTAGAGTCTCTTACCATTGACGTGTGCTGTGTCTCCGAAACACGCATACAGGATTCCAGTGTGGTCATTCACCTGACCTCACCTCGGCAAAACGGAGAGCCAACGAGGTACACCCTTCGTGTATCTGGTGACCCGATGGCAAGTTCTCGTGGACTGGCAGGTGTAGGCATAGCACTAAGCATGAGGGCCGAACAAGCACTGCTAGAGTGGATCCCCGTCAACAGTCGTCTATGTGCTGTTCGGCTGAACGGCTACGTAAGAACTCGGAAGGATAGGGACACACGTCGTTGCCTTTTTGTCGTTTCTGCCTACGCTCCCACTGACTGCAGCTCAGATGATGTGAAAGATGAATTTTACAGAAAGCTGTCCGAACTTCTTCAGAAAGCTAAACGCTCAGACATAGTACTCGTAGCAGGTGATTTTAATGCTCAGATAGGCAGTTTAAACCAAACAGAAAGGCATTTAGGTGGATATTTTAGCATTCCGGCACAGCGAACAGATAATGGTGATCGTCTACTGCAGCTATGCTCAGACAATCGTTTATTTTTAGCAAACACAAATTTTAAGCATAAGGAGAGACATCGTCTAACATGGCGACCCCCTACACCAAACCAACGATGGACTCAAATAGACCATATTGCCATCAGTCATCGTTGGAGAGGGTCGGTAGAAGATTGTCGCTCATTCTGGAGTACCTGTTTGGACTCCGACCAAGCCCTAATACGGGCACGCATCTGCTTGCGCCTCACTGGACGCAAAAAAGCCACATTAAAAAGACCTGTTAGAACTGAGTTGAGTAACGAGAAAACCAAAAGTAGGTTCCAGGAACAACTGAGGTCACACTTAGGTAGTTGTGAAGACGAGGCTGACCCAGATGTTGCTTGGAAGGGCATACAATCAGCTGTGGAAACAGCAGTGACATCTATTAGTGACTTAAACCACAGAGTTGCAAGGAACCAGTGGATTTCTTCAAGGTCTGTCACACTGATGGATTCTCGCAAACTCGTCCCATCAGGTTCTGAACATGATGAAGAGCGACAACAAATCAGATCTAGGTTAAGAAAAAGTCTAAGAAACGACCGTGAGCAGTGGTGGGCATCGAAAGCAAAAGAGATGGAAAAGGCGGCGACTATAGGGAACACAAGACAGCTTTACAGACTAATAAAAGAAACTGGGATTAATAAGTCAAGTGTAAGTGAGATTATATCGGAAAAAGACGATACACTCATCTGCTCCAAGTCCAGGCGTCTAGAACGATGGGCGGAACACTTTAGTGAACAGTTCAACTGGCCTTCAGCGACTCTACAACTACCTTCCATTCCCAGACAGTGTGAATGGAACATTGAAGTAGGTCCCCCAACTCTTGCTGAAGTTCAAAAGGCTATAGTTAATCTGAAACGAGGAAGGGCAGCTGGTCCAGATGGATTGGCTCCAGAGGTCTTTAAGGATGGTGGTCCAATTTTAGCGATTAAGTTGACTAATATTTTAGCTAAGATCTGGGAATTAGACTTTATCCCATCTGACTGGTCGCAATCACTTATCGTCCCAATATATAAGAAAGGGTCAAAATCATCCTGTGACAACCACAGAGGTATTAGTTTAACAAACATAGTATCTAAAATATTGGCCTCGATAATTATCAAACGCCTAACTAAGACTCGTGAACTACAAACTCGAGAGAACCAAGCTGGCTTTAGACCTGGTCGTGGCTGCATCGACCACATATTCACCATTCGTCAGGTTCTAGAACACAGGCATACCTATCGGCGTCCGACGATGGTGGTATTTCTTGACTTAAAAGCAGCATTTGACTCGGTAGACCGCGAGACTCTGTGGCAGTGTCTGTCATTGAAAGGCGTACCTCAGAAGTACATAAACCTTGTGAAGGCTCTTTACTCGAACACTACTAGTCGAGTCAGAGCTTATGGCGAACTGTCATCTACTTTTGCAACCTCAAGTGGTGTCCGTCAAGGCTGTCCACTTTCTCCATTTTTGTTTAACTTCATCATAGACCTATTGGTGGAAATAACACTCTCGTCGACTGAATTCTCGGGTATTGATCTCCTTCCAGGAGGTCCACTTATCGACTTAGAATACGCAGATGACATAGTCCTGTTTGGTGAAGACGCTGACAAAATGCAGAGTCTTCTGGTAGCACTAAGCAACAATGCCAGAATGTTTGGGATGCGCTTCTCTCCCTCTAAATGCAAGTTGTTGCTTCAGGACTGGTCTGCGTCAACACCTGAACTAAGGATAGGGAGTGAAGTAGTTGAACGCGTTGACAACTTCACTTATCTTGGAAGTCTGATCAGCCCTAATGGGTTGGTGTCTGACGAAATCTCAGCACGGATTCGAAAAGCTCGTTTGGCTTTTGCCAACTTACGTCACCTTTGGCGAAGGCGAGATATCCGTCTATCAATAAAAGGACGAGTATACTGCGCGGCAGTTCGTTCTGTTTTAATTTACGGCAGCGAAACATGGCCCTTAAGAGTAGAAGACACCCGTAAGTTACTAGTATTTGACCACATATGCCTTAGAAATATTGCTGGCATCTGCTGGGATCACCGGGTAAGTAATAGTGAGGTTAGACGCAGGGTATTAGGGAATGATGGTAAATCAGTTGATGAGGTTATGAATCTTCATCGACTGAGATGGTTGGGCCACGTATTACGTATGCCTGAACACCGATTACCACGACGTGCAATGCTAACCGGGGTAGGGGATGGTTGGAAGAATGTTAGGGGCGGCCAAACCAAAACGTGGCATCAGTGCCTGAAGTCACTAACTTCTAGTCTGAGCCATGTTGGTAGATGCAGACTACTTGGTTGGGGTCCGCGTGACTTTCGTAACCAATGGTTGGAGACTCTTGGTGACATGGCTCAGAATCGATCACAATGGCGTCGGTGTATACACTCCCTGTCTTCCCTTAAACTAAGAGACTAAAATAACTTCATTCTTTCTGTCTACGAACTAATTCTTTCTTCCTATACTATATCCTTATTGCAACCTTTGACCTAACCACTCCTATGAATCCGGTGTTCATCTTGCTGTGCTAATGAGGTATGGCAACCTGGACCGATGCACATATGTGCCTGGTCCTACGTTGTAGCTGACTGACTGACTGACTGACTGACTGACTGACTGAGTTCTACTGATCCGTTATACTCGTCGTATTTACAATTTTGATTTATGTATTCCTGTTCCGGTAAATTCATACTGAAATCTTAAAAATGGGGTGATAACCAGAGCCGAAGAATGGAATAACATAATACGGTGTAAATGAAATATGGCACTAAATGACCTTGAGATGTTAACCGCTTTGAGGGACAGCAGATATAAATGAATATGTTATTGTGCAAGGACTGGGATACTGAGTTTAGGATTCTTGCATTTCGATTTTAACTCTTTATGCTATTTATAAAGCTGTATTGGAGAAAATTAGTTTGCCTTTCAAACACCATTTATGGATTTTCTTTAAATTGGGAAGCTGAATCGCATTTTATGGTTTAGTTAATTATGATAATTATAGTGTGTTTCACTTATGGGTTTAAGTGACCATTTACCCTAAACTCTAGTGATAAGTATTTGGACTTATTATTTTTAACCATTTATCTGTCCTTTTTTATATGACTATTTATCGACAACGGTTTATTTCAGGACAAGATTCCAGTCGTCAAGACTCATCTCAACAATCATCCAGAGTTCGTTGCTGGGACTTACTACAACCCGCCCATTTTTATCCGTTTAATATTCCACTTTTGCTCTCTACTCGAGGTGAAAGTATGGACCGCAACCCGATCGGTGAAAATTATACTCGTTCTGAAGAAGCTGTTCCTAATGGTAATCCTCAAACGGCTAACTGTCTGGATTTGAGTGCATCACTTATAACGAATACGTCCAGATACTTTGGCGATTCAGATGAAAGACGTTTAGAGAACTATATTTCCATGGCTAATAACATTTTACCAATTCCATTGCCTTCCGCTTATTTAATTGCTTTACATGAAAGGGCTGGAGCTTATCATAAGTGGCCTCAATATGTTATGGTTAGTTTCAGAAAAAACGTTCCTATTAATGCAATTTAGCATTTTTGGTAACAAGTAAACTTCTGTTTTGTGAATTTATTTAGATTTGTTTTTCGATCTACCACTCTATTTTTATTTTGAAGATTTGTTCGATTCCCGATTTTCCAAAGGACTATTCAAATCTATGGTGATTGTGAATTCCACTATAAGACTGTTTACTCAACAATCCATTACATTATAAGCCGAGATGAATAGTGGGTAACCATAGGATCAAGGCCGGGCGTTTCGTCCCATTTGAGACTTGTTAGCTTAGTGTATCTGCACCTGAGATTTGACGGTCAATGCTGGACTCGAACCCAGTATCATTCTCTTCAAAGGCCATCGCATTACCCACTCGGCTACTAAGTCCATGTAGCTATTGGCTTGTAAAATGGAGTGAAGCTTAATTTTTTGTATTGTTCGTTTGAATTTTCCCATCAATGTTCAGGACTGCAATTGATCAGAATAAAACGCGCCTCCTGGATTCTACTGCTAGCCACCATCTACCCCTGCTGATAATATTTGTGACTTAATGGGAATATCGAGGCCATCTACGGACGATGCACAGATGACAAAAATGACTGATGAATTACAGTCCTAAACATCAATGGAAAGATTCGAAGAACCAATACAGTTTAATAAATACATCACATTGTTGTTATTGTACGAATGAGTGTGCTTTTAGATCGTTTCAATATTTGTCTACAGGGAAATCATCTCTAAAATTTGGTTCACAAAATAACCAAACAAATACAGTATGTAGACAACTGTGACATAAAGTATTTGTTATAGTGAATGAAAGGGGTTCTTTATTATTATTTCGCCACTGGATAATTTCATTTGGAAGCCTGTTGCATTACGCTTCTTATCTCATGGCTCAATTTATATTATACTGGCATATGAGTTTGTTATCATATCGTGGTTTGTCTCTACTGGATATGTTTCCGGTCTATTAAAGTGCATCATTTCTATTATACTTTGAGTATGGATTATCAGCTGAATCCAGGATATGCTTTACATTATTAACATTTATATTAGCAATCCGAACTGAGTACTTATCACTTCAGAATGCAATATTTTATTCACTAGGTAGCTGAATCGTGTTATCCCAAAACTCGCTCAACTGGTATGATAATTATTGTCATTTGTAATAGTTTGAATTTCCCTGAAATATTAGCAGAGAGAAAACATGAACTTTTAAAAATATTAATAATTCTGTTTTTGTTCTTTGTACTTAATTTGTGTTGTGTATTCGCTTTTACAAATAAAGTGGCGGATAGCTATAAGTCTCGATCTTTTCATTTACAGAATGCAAGGTTAACCCTTGATCAACGTCATAGTTTTAGCACCGTTGTGGATCAGAGATTTCGACAATGGTTGATAGAATCAGGCAATTTGCGTCAATTACAACTCCTAGAGCTAAGCACAGGTCACGTGAATCCAGTACCATCTTGCAATCCTACTGCTTATTCTGTCGACAAAAATGTTGCTCCTATGTCTGTGAGTTCTACTTTTCAAAGCCATGCAGATCGATCAGATCATGGGGTTCATAGTTCTTATGCTGATGGTCACATAAGCAATTCTATTCGGAGTGGCTGTCTTCTCACTCGGTCAAATAATGAAAATCAGTTTGCTACCAACGATGATGATGCTGATGGCATATGATAGTAATTCGTAATTTTTCAAGTATTATACATTCCAGTATTTTTCTCAATCCATAATTGGTTGTTGCGTCTTTTGGTTCAACCGGAAAAGTAATATAATCTCAGTTTAAGCTATCATCTGTGATCATTTATATTGTTATTGTTTGTTTAAGACATGTACTCATTGTTACCTTAAAAGGGACATTTGATTTTTTCTGAATGTAATTCTTTGAATTTTTATGGGTCACATTTTCTTGAAACTTTAAATTAGTTTACCAACGTAAAAAATGTCTTATTGCTTGTTATATCATAAAATTATTTTGGATTCCCAATTTTGACGTACTTTTTCCGGATCCTTACTTCTTAATACGTAATTGTATTGATGTACTTTGGTCTCATCAGTTGGCTAATGTTTTATGCTTTAGCTATAAATGTGACTTAATTATTAACTACAGAAACATGTTTACTGTTAAAACGTTCAATATAATCGCTTTATTTAACTGTTCACTTTTGAGTTCTTATGCACAATTGATCTGACATGTAATTTAATGCTTATGTTATCTTTTGTACATGTCAGGTACTATTGTAATAAACGAAAACAGTTGGGATCGACCAAATGTATTTGAATACAAAATTACAGTTATTTGGTAAAATCTGAATACCATATGTTCAATACTTTATTTGCAAAATCTCCATCAGTTGTCTCAGAATTGTTGTTCCTTCATTTCCATACCAATCACTCTCTGTTCCCGTTCATTTCTATTCGATCTTCTCATCCTTCTGCTGCCAGGCATTCCACTTGCGATTGGTGTTGTAAACTACTTATATCTGTCGACATATGTAGCACACTAACATGGTTACAGAAATGACATATTGATTAGTTATCGGATTGAAAATAATACTGCTTTTTATAAGAGAGCACTTGATATCTGGAAAAGTAATAGGAATGAAAGTATTACTGGTTCAAATAATTTTACATGACCTTAAAATGCAAGTTATCATACAGTTTGTTAAAAAATGTAGTTAGACTTAGAGCAATTATAGTAGGAAAAAGTAAAGACAAACGGAATTTATGATTTCTCAGTGACTTTACGAATTAACACAATGATGAAGTCATTTTTGCCTTGAGAGTTTGGAGTATGTAAGATTCCCATACAATGGCGGTTCCGACCCAGATAACATGCATTCCGAAATTGAGTCCGTATTAGAGCAAAAAACTATACCAGCGTCCCAGCGACTTTTGCCAGTGGTTCTACAGCAAATAAAAATTTGTATGGGTTGCAAATGTACAACTGATCGGATGAAAGGATAAGCAAACTTTCAGGATTACTATCTACCGTTGCTGTTGGAACATGCTAAAAAATCTAAGACATGCACTTCTTTCTGTTCGGCCAATTTAGCTGCTTTGGCAGGTGCACGTAAATTTATAAACAAAAGTGGCGGTAGCATGAAAGGAGTGCTTGTTAAACTTTGGTTGGGTTATTGAACATGTTGACGTGTTGGGAGCTTAAGCGACGATCTGATTGATTAGTTATAGATATAACTAACACTCGATTCAAAAATTTGTTCGAGCAGTTAAGAGATTTGCATGCAATGAATGTGGAGAATCACAGTTGGTTGAGATTACCAACCAATATTTCATTTCATCGACACCAAAGTCGAATATTTTATTTAAAGAACATCTGACTGCCTTCAGAAACAAACAAAATAACGAGGTACCGATCTTAGCATAAACAACCGGAATTTGCACATCGAGTACTAATTTTTAAATATTTGCCTTCACTACCCTATTAAAAAGGAATAGGACTGAAATATTGACTTAATTAATAAAGTGACTATGCAAATACTGATATGTTCTCCATATTATTCCGTCTGTAGCTCTTCTAGAGTTGCTGCATGTCCCAAGACCAGGTGAAGGAGGAGGGTTGGACATGGAGTCGGCAACCTCATCCCGTAGAAAACAACCTTGTTAAAAAGCGCTAACCAGATTAAATAATTTAAACTCTCCCCTCCAGGTTGAAGGAAGAATTATGACACCTCATGATGAAAGCTCAGATTCTTCGGAAGTCACGAGGCCGATGACCCTTCTAATATCCAGAGAAACCATTAATATAGGTACATGGAGTATCCGAACAATGTGGGAGACCAGGAAGACCAGTCAAATAGTTACGAAAATGAGGAGATACAACTTAGTAGTACTCGGAATCAGCAAAACCCATTGGACTGATTCAGGAGAGCTGCTACTGTACTCTGGTCTCGAGGAAGGAAATACTGCACACACTCAGGGAGTTGCTCTAATGTCCAAAGAAGCAAGAAATGGGCTCATAGAATGGGAATCTCATGGATTCAGGATCATCAAAGCATCCTTTAAAACAAAGAAGAAGATAATCACAATGAATGTTATCCAAAGTTATGCAGCTACCAATTATGGAAATGACAACGATAAAGATCGGTTTTACGAGAGGCTGCAATCAATCATAGCGAAGTGCCCAGGAAAGGACTTGACAATGCTAATGGGATATCTATACGCCGAAGTTGGAACGGAAAACTACGGTTATGAAGATATCATGAGACGACATGAACTGGGAGGAAAAACGAAAGCGATGGAAGATTTGCAAATCTATGTGCATTCAACAAAATGATTATATGCGGCACAACATTCCCACGCAAACGCATGCATAAAGCTGCATGTCTTTCACTGAATTACACAACGGAGGACCATGTCGATCATATTTGTATCACTAAATGTTATGGATGCGGTCACCCGTCACGACAATTGGCGACGGGGTAGAGAAAATTTTGAACCCTGTAATTGGACGAGATTCAACCTAATTATTTTGGCTAATCAGCATTCAGATTGATCGTTGGTGTTCTTGGAAGTCATTGGTTGTTGATTGATCACAGTATTTTTCATTACCCTGCTGATTCAGAAAATGACTATCCTTCCCGATCAATTGCAGCTACTACTTGATCGTCAACAGCAGCGTTTCAGAGAGAGCCAGTTGAATGTTTTGGACAATTTACGCACGCGACTGCTAAATCTCCCATGTTCCGGAGATGTGAAAGAAACTGATGAATTAATTTCTCACTTGCATACTGAACTCGAAAATGACTACAGGACGTATGAAGATGAAAACAAAAGCCTCTATGAATCCCTGATGGTCAGTAATGCAAACGAGGCAGTCGCTCATGATTCGTCCAGCGATCCAGAAATGTCCAATTCAGAAATATGCCCTGTCGTGGGTTCAAATCCCACTGTGCCCGAAACATGTACAGACAGTGAGGCATCCAGCTCACAAGAAGAACCCCTCGTGCCCGGAAATGTGTCCCATGCATCAAACAATGTTCAGAAATCTAATACAAATTTCAAAGATGCTATTTATTTTAGTGATCCATTATCCACTAATGGAATTTTGAAGAGGTCTGATGAACATGTTTCACAAGAATCAAACCCTAATGACCTCATATCTAGTGTCGCTGATCCTCATCATCTAGTCAGTTCTAGTGGACGCTCTACCCAATGCGGGAAATATGCTTTAAGTAGAATCAGACTAACTGTTACTTGGGTATATGAGGACCCAACATTACTTCGCGGGGGAGGACGGACGCAGAAAATTTTAGAAATCCGGATATCAACTCCGGATCTTCAAAAAAGGGAGGTGTTATGGATGCAGAATAATATACCAATCATTATCATGTTAAGTTTAATGATGTCCTTGGACCTTAAATGGACATTCCCTATTGGTCATTATTTATTTCATTCGTTAAATATTGTACAAATGTTGTTTTCTATTTTTATGGTACGATGTGGTCTGTTTCGTTAGTATATAAATAGAGTATGTCTGAAATACAATGATTCATAACTCAGAGGCTGTGACTTGCGTTCTAGATTTGACTGGCTGGGCTAGATAGTGGAGCAGGACCAATCGGGACTCTAGGTTGTCCTTATGTGTTTTACGTGTCACTGAATCGATCAATAAAACGCTGCGCATCTAACCGTGAAATGCACCCGTTACAATACTAAAAATTTTTAAAAGTCAATGGAAGACGTGAGAACCAAGGGTGGAGCTGACATAGCTTCAGATCACCACGTAGATGTGACCAAAATGAAACTGAGGCCGAAGAAGTACTAGACAACTGGAGAAACAGAAGTACAAAGGCTCAATACAGCCTTCCTTCGAGATACTGACAAACTTAACGAATTCATGATAACTCCTAATAACAGGTTCCGAACCTTACGGGATCTACTGAAGGAAGAAGAAAGTATTATGGAGAACAACTGGGAAGGTATCAAATAAGCACTAGCTTCAATGTGTTAGGAGGCTCTTCCCCTCAAGTAGCATCCTTATATTGAATGGATCTTTATCGAAACCCTGAACATGATCCAAGATAGGAAGAACAAGAAGACAGCAATAAGCAACAGACGAACAAGAGAAGAGAAAGTCAAGGCACAGATTGAATACACTGAAGCAAACAAGCTAATGGAGGGGAGCATTAAAACTGGCAAGTGGAAATACGTGGAAGGCCTAGTGACGACAGCAGAAAAAGGTGCAACCGAATGAAATATGGAAGAGCTATATAACACAACGAAGAAACTAGCAGGGAAATATAGTAAACCAGGGCGACCAGTCAAGGACAAAGAAGGCGAGACAATCACAGATTCAAGAACAGAGGAACAGATGGATAGAACACTTTGAGAAACTCTGGAATTGGCCAGCTCCATTGAATCCATACATTCCCATAGTCGTCACTCCATCAACGATCGAATAAATCAGGATGACCGGTCATCAGACAAATCAAGAGTGGGGAAGCAGCAGGACCTGAAAATATACCAGCTGAAGGACTGAAATCAAGTATTGAGGCAACTGCATGTATACTTCACGTTCCATCCAGGAAAATTTGAGCGGAACAACAAGTGTCGACAGACTGGAAAGAAGGATGCCTCTTCATGATACCGAAGGAAGGAGATCTGAGCAAGTGTGAGAACTACCGAGGGAACACTACTATCAGTATCGGGAAAATTTCTCAACAGAGTGTTTCTGAACCAGATTAAAGATTCAGTAAACACCGAACTTCGAAATCAACAGGTTGGATTCCGTAAGGATCGGTGGTGCACAGACCGAATCGCGATAATACATATCATTGCTGAACCATCAATTGAATGGAACTCGTCACTATATATCAACTTCATTGAATATGAGAAAGCATTTGACAGTGTGGATAGGGGAGTCCTAATTTCGTAATTGTGTCTTCAATATCATAGTTTGTAAGCAGCTGATGAGAATCAACGAAAGAAAATGGGTTCATGCTATTTTGTTAGAATCTTTGTTCCTGCACGTTTCTAAATGACAAAAGGAACTGTGTGTATGATGTTTCTGTTTTTTTGTTTTCTCTCTCTCTATTCTTTCCGGAGGTATCTATAAAGATCCATTCTTTCTGCTAATTCTTCTTGTGGCCCTGCACTTCCTGGGCTGTTGAATTTGTTTTAGTGCGTTTCCATTTGTTTTTCATAATCGTTTCGTCTTCTAATAGGTTTTGTAAGACTTGAAACTTCTTGCTAGGAGCGATCATGAATTCGCTGGAGTTTTAAGCATCTGGAACGTATGTCGTATTTACTTTTATAGTGTTACTTGTTCGATTTTTAATGAGTTTTCAGCGTGAACTTTGCAGTTATCAAGTGGTGATTTTAAGTTCACTTAATTTCTACGTCTTTTATTTAACTGGTATTTAAATATTCCTTCATATGCTTTCACTGGTTGGATACGATTTACCCATGTTTTACAACAAACTACGACTCCTGGGTACATCGGATAATGTCGGAGTTGATTAGATAGTTTCGGGTGACCAAACCATGACGTGGCATCATTCCATCGTGTGATTGACAATTGAATCGAAACACTTCAGTTGTTGCAGGCCTTCTGTTCGAGTACCATAGTTTACCTATAATCAGTGATTGGAAACTGTATGATATGTTTCATAATCGGTTACAGAAGTGCAGTTGCGGTCATTCTCTATCTACTGTACTGTAATTCCCAACTTTCCTCCTCTCATTCTTTTTAAACAGTATCTCATTGAATATCATTTTTCTTCTCCGTCTGTATTTCTCATCTTGTCAACATTCACTCTAGCTGCGCTGATGTTTGGGAAGAAAGCTTGTTTTTATAGTATCTGTGACTGAATAACTGATCAGAATTAGTAGTAGGTGGTAAAGTTCCGGATTTCAGTCGGCTGATCGTTTATGTAATGGAAATCATACGACTTAAGTTTTTTATTAATACATAAATGTTTATGACTTTTACCAGTCCAAAATTTATTCGTCTTAACACATGCATTCAACATGTGATATTTAAATATATCTCGTTGTTAAGTAACAAACCTGACGTACATGTAAATCATACAAGTAAACACTTAGAATTCGTTCGACTAATTTGCTTGATTCTTAACGCATTAAATCATGAACACTTTCGAAAGATGTCTGTATATTCGTTACGTGCTTTTTATCTCTCTATATAATAACTGTTTTCAAATATGTCTTTGACTTGAGTATGTTTAGTTAGACGAGTCAAATTAGATGACTACCATTCCCAAATTATTACACTAGAGTTTCCATTGTAGTATATTGAAACGATATGATTAGACCCCATTTTGGGTCGAATTAGTATTAAATCAATATCGTGAGTTTACTGCTCTTAAAACTATATAGTATTCACGAAAGAATAATTAGGAGCGGTCAATACGATTCCCTGAATCCAGTATCTTAATTATTATGAGCCATGCCTTTTCAGAATTCCGCCCGTAGCTCTTCTAAAGTTGCTGCATGTCCCAAGACCAGGTGAAGGAGGAGGGTTGGACATGGAGTCGGCAACCTCATCCCGTAGAAAACAACCTTGTTAAAAAGCGCTAACCAGATTAAATAATTTAAACTCTCCCCTCCAGGTTGAAGGAAGAATTATGACACCTCATGATGAAAGCTCAGATTCTTCGGAAGTCACGAGGCCGATGACCCTTCTAATATCCAGAGAAACCATTAATATAGGTACATGGAGTATCCGAACAATGTGGGAGACCAGGAAGACCAGTCAAATAGTTACGAAAATGAGGAGATTCAACTTAGCAGTACTCAGAAGCAGCCATTTTCATCTCATTTCTGAAAAATTTTGAATTTTCACTTTTTAATTATTTTAGTTAAAATTTCATTCAGCATGACATTGTTAACTTTTGT